TACTAATATTGGAGTAAAAATTCTACCTCAAGGGTAAATATTATCTTTATTTCATTTTAATTTGATTTATATTTTTACTAGGGAATTTTATGAAAGAAAAACATTAGATGAATATTTGGCTAGAGCTCTTACTCTTCCCCTTTCTGAAGTGACAGAAGTCATTTATATACCTAATGAGAAAGGTTCACCAAATGAAAAAACTCAATATAAAACACTGAAGCTGATTGATGACAGCAACTATGTCTTAACACTGGATTTTGCACTAAAAATGATTAATATTCATGAAAGGAGAGAATGTGGCATGCCAGTTATTATTGAGGGAGAAACTGGAGTTGGAAAAACTGCACTGTTAAGAATGTTGTCTAAACTTTGGAATTATAGTTATGAAACTGAGCTTAAAGGTTTTGAGCAAAGACTTAAGAAAATACTAACTTATGATAAAAGTAAAAATTGTTCATTATATTAAACATATTTATTCACTTTTGTTTCTCTAAAGGGCAAAGCAGGCTTAATATGTCACTACAACAGCAGTTATCTCAAGTTAAAGATTTTGTTGAAAATGAAGAAATATCAACTGCTGGAGGGAGTACTGAAGCAGCTGAGTTAAAAGGAATTGTTTCAAAATTAAGGAAGATTGGATTAGAATTAAAAAAAACCCCATCCATATCAGTTCTTTTACCTAGATATGATACAAAAGAGGAGTTTTGGAGAATTGCCAAGAGTTCAGATGATGATATTGACACCAAAGTATCCTTACCATGTTTTATCATAAATTTTATTACTTTTAGGATTTATTGAAGCTCTTGAATGGATTTGCTACAGCAGAAGTATCAACATTTCATAAGTTAGATGTTCATGCAGGTTTGGTTATATGCACATTAAATATAACAAAATTCAATTTTTTAAGGACTCAAAACTCATGACATCACCAGTTTCTTTAAACGAGTCAATGAACAAGCAAAACGAATCTGTATTTGCTTTGAAAATAAATCTCGAATCCCTCAAGTTACAGTAAGATTATTTTTCAATTACTATATTTTGTGAACCATATTTAATTATTTTCATTTTTTATCTATCACAAACAAATAGTAAATTTTATGCGTAAACTAGTTTCACTTATATACAATTGTATGTATATGACTAGCAAAAATTCTCTCCTAGCAATTTTTGATAAAATTTTGGTTTAATGCCTTGTGATTTTGAGCAACTTAAAGGAATCAACTCAAAATTTTTATGCAACTTGAGTAGATGTACATGCCAGCTCAAAACTTTCTATGCAACATAAGCATAAGTACATGTATCTTTATTAGAAAAAATATTAAAATGTAAAATTCTATATTTTTAAATTTTGGCAAAATTTTGACCCAAGACCATGTACATGGGACATGTAAAGTCTCATGTACAGGGACTTTGACCAGATTTTTGAGCAACTTTAAAAATTTATAGAAAATCTAATTTTGATCAGAATTATCTCAAACTTTTTACGCAACATTAATAGATGTACATGTACATGCATTTGTATAAAAAAGATTAAAAATTCTTTTTTTAAATTTTGGTGAATGTTGGCCTAAAACCATGTACATAGGGATATAGGTCCAATTTTTGAGCAACTTTAAAAATTCATAAATCCAATTTTGATTCAAATCAGTTCATACTTTCTACACAACATAAGTTGTATTACTATTACAATAAAAGCAATGATGGTTTTTGGCTCAATTTTTGAGCATTTGTAAAAAAAATCAAAAATTAACATTGGTAGAAATTAACAAAAACTTTTTATGCTATAAAAGTTTAAAGCACTATTTCAAAAAAAATTGAAAAGGTTGTGCTTTACACTTTTTGCCTTTTCTTTTTGAATTTTTATAGCAATAGAATGTACATTATGACAAAAAATGTTATACTATGACTATGCTCTAAAATTAGCATAAAATTAGCACTCATTTTTGTTATCAGGCTTATCTTGATGAAATCAATACATCTTCTTGTATGGGACTTTTCAAAGAAATTATAATTGATAGGACCATTGATGGAGAGGTTTGATATTGTTACTAGATTTATAATCTAATATTATTATCATTATATTAGGCAATATTAGACAATGTATTTATCATAGCTGCTTGTAATCCTTTACGTGGAGACAGTACAATTCATTTACAAAATGTAAAGAATGTTTGGATTAAGCCAAGTTATTATGTTCGTGAGCTTCATCCTACAATTGATTATCTAAAATGGGACTATGGAGCATTAAATGATGTTCAAGAAGCAGAATACATCACTGCTAAAATGAATGATTATACTAAAGATCAACCTGAAGCTTTTACTTCTGGTCAATTAACTTATTTCATTGTTGAAAGCCAAATTAGAATGAGGTTATATGCTAATAGAATGTTGACAAATAAAGGAGTTCATGTAATGGAAGCCAAGAAGTGTTCTAGAAGTTGTGTTAGTCAAAGAGATATTCAACGAGTATTTGATTTCTACAAGTGGTTATTTGGTACATACAAAGCCTTCCAACGCTATACAACTACTGAAGAACAACAAGTACGAGCATTACTAGTATCACTGGGCTTAGTATACTATTTGAGGCTACAAGAATTGGACAGAGAAAGTTATGCTGAATTTCTGGACATTCAATGTAGAGACCTGCTAGTTCAATGTAACTTTACTATAGCTTTCAATGATGAATTAGAATGGTACATAGATAGAATGAATCTACCTCCTGGAATAGCCAAAACTAGAGCTTTGAAGGAGAACATATTTGCCAATATAGCTTGCTGTCAAACACACACTCCTCTTATTATCATTGGAGAGCCAGGAACATCAAAAACACTATCATTTAATTTAGTTAGTAGCACCTTCAAAGGAAAATCCTCTAAGAATGAAGACTTGAAGAATGTAAATGCTTTCCATGCCTTACAGCCATTTTTTTATCAATGTTCGAAACACACTAATTCAGTTGAGGTTGAAAATATTTTTAAGCAGGCAATTCAGCGCCAAAGGGTGTTTGCCAGTTCTAATGTTCCCACCTATTGTGTTGTTTTTATGGATGAAGCAGGTCTACCTGAGGAACGTCATGAGTCACTTAAAGTTTTACATTATCATTTAGACAAAAGAGAAGTATCTTTTGTAGCTATTACTAATCATGCTCTAGATGCTGCTAAAACCAATCGTGCGATCAGTCTCTATCGCCCTGAAACATCAACTGAGGATCTTAAAATATTGGCTAAGGACTTGCTTCGTACATCTACAGCTATGACAATGAAGAATGAT